TTAGCGAGTGCTCTGTGGCTCCCGCTTGCAGGCCACCCCGGGCCGGCTCGCGCTCGTGGGCTGGTACCTACTTGCTGGCTTCCACTTGCTTGATGCCTATTTTGAGTGTATGTGATTTAGTGCATCTTTGGCATATTCGTGGGATCTATGGCAGGTTCCTGCGGTTCTTGGTTGAATGGTCAGATTCGCTGATCTTTGAAGGGGTGGTTTTTGGTGGTTTCTGCCAGGAATTATGTTGTGTCTATGTTTACGGTGTGTTTTTCCTCTTTCCAGTGGCCCGGGAATTTGGATCCAGCCAGTGTGATTTGCAATCCTCTGCCCCATCTTCAGCATCCAGCACGGTGCACATCCTGTCCCTGCTTCTCCGACTGCGGCAGTGCTGCTGTCACTTGTCTCTGCTCAAGTTGGTGGGTATTCCTAATGCAAGAAGCATTGAGTCGGCATAAAAGTAGACATGCGTCAGAATTCTGCGAATTTTGCCAAATTCTCTGAATCCCCCGCCAGCTGTGACTGGTTCACTTTGCTATCTCTATAGTAAATCAGTACTCCCAAGCACCATAACCACTACAGCACACTACAATGGTTATGGTGCTGGGAGTGTCCTGGCTCCTGGCCCTCCCATATAAGTCATCAAACTGTTTGACAAATTACCTGGGGTCAGCTCGTCACTTCCTCCATAGGGAGCCTGAAGCTCTGCCGTGCCGGACCGACTCATTGGATGAGAGAGTGTCAGCTGATTGCTTTCGGACAATTGGCTAAGCCCTCACCACAAAACTTTGCTCAGTGCACAGAGCTTCCGGCTTTCAGTGGAGGAGTTGACCGGCCTAAATGCCTTAAATTTGCGGGGGAGATGGGAGTTGCCCCTTTTTTTTTCTGATGGAGATATCATTTACATTTCAGTGCCATTACAAGATGCAGGACTACTTTGTCTTATGAATGGCAGATTATTAGGTTCTGGCTTCCATGCATGATTTGCCATTTCACTCCTGATTTCTGGTGATAAAAGGCGTCTTGTCACAACACTTTGAGTAGCTTCCCTTGCTCATGGAGAGTTATTAAATTTAATTTGGAAATGTATTCTTGAGAATGGCATGAAAGCCGATCAGACAGACTTAGATGCTCATTTCTGGAGGCCACAGACTGGATCATTATTTACTCATAAATGCTTTAGATAGTACCTAGAAATTATATGAAAATCGATTTGAAAATCGAGTGGTTTAGCAAACAATATGTATCTATGCATTATGCTTGTCAGATGACCAGAAACATGTCGATTTGCAGGGCTTATACAAATAAACATCCGAATCCCAGTTGGCAGAGAGGATGCAGCAGGATTAGGCCATGTATACATTACCTGCCCCACAATGCTTTGCTGCTGTGGGCATTCGCTGACTGACCGTGTGCCTAAACTGTTCCCCAATGCTTAAATGTTAATAGAAGAGAGTCCCTTTAAATGTTTCTTTAATATTTCACTTGTTTCTTTCCCCAGGCCCTTGAACAGTTGGAATTGAAGAGTGAAGGTCTCAGCCTGAGCCTGGAAGAGCAACTGAATGCCCTTTCTCTATGTGAAGTTCAGAGCCCAGACCCCAAATCCATTGTCTCCCTCAATGGCACCAACTTCTCTGCAAAGCTTTTTGAAACTGAAAGCAAAAGCACAAAGGTATTTATTTTATGTAAGACGTTCAAAAGCTAAAGAACACTTGGGCAGAATGCCTAATTTCTTCCCATACCCTCCAATCATTGATTCTTCTGTCAGTGCTGGAACAGACTAGGGCAGACTCCGATTGTAACCTCAGCTGTTCCCTGTTGAACTCCGGTGGGACGGTAGTCTGTGTGCTGATGGTCAAATATTATTCAAATTGGGCAAACGTGGTCCAAAACTACTCAGTTATGATTGGCAATGCAGCACATTCAATTACAACAGCTGATGTTAAGTATCCAGCGATTTGATATGTGTTATTTTTCTTTTTCTGGACAGATTAACTCTCTTCTCTCAGAGCTCAAGGTTATTCGCAGCAGCGTGGAGCCTCAAAAATGGTAAGTTTTTTAAGAGGCCTATTGTAATCACAGAAGCTAGGATCCCGAAATAGCTGGTCTCGGGGCTACATCACAAAAAAAGAGATTCACAAAACTGTTAGAATGATAACATTGAAGGGGTGGCATCATGCAGTCACAGAATCTGGGACCCACAAAGTCACCTTTAGCATTTGTCACAGACACTCAGATTCATTAGATGTTCCCTAATTATTCTGGCAGTGTGCCACCTCCTGGATTATACGATGTGAAGGAATGCCCCATCACTTTCGGCTATTTTTTGGTATCGGGATTCGTGCCCAAGCTTATTTCATTTATTTTGGTTGGTTCCCGAGCTGAGACCACCCCAGAGACCCATTAGAACATGGAATGTTAAGTATCCTGTGCGAAAACCACAACGGAATGAACTAATTGAATGCTCCACTGGGTGGCCTCCATTTCGTACATGCGAACGCACATGGTCGAGACAATGGATGGGCGGCCATTTTGTCTCCTGAACGCAGGCCGCTGGACCTCAGTCTGGAACTCATCTCGGCCAGACACCAACTGTTTGGTGGTAGTAGGAGCTGTCCCTGGCTTTCTGGTCTTTGCTATGCGGTACAGTAACATATCTGATCCCAGATGAACCGTTCCCCATCCTTTCCCACCTGACCAGAGGCGGCCATTTCCCTATAACCCTGGAGAGTGGGTTCTGATACTACTTCCCTTTCAAACTCGGCCGGGGTATCCCAGGGCATAGGGTTCGGGGCAGGGGAAGAATCCCAAGGTACTGAAGGCAGGGGGTTAGCATGGGTGGTCCTGGTACAGGGGCCCAAGGGCAGGCGGGCTAGCCAGGGGGATATTTGGTACTCTATTTGAAGGGAAAGATAGACAGACCGCACAGCCTGAATCTGTGGAACTGCTTTGGGCATGAAAATGTGTGTGCGGTCGGTCAAATAAGACTTTCAGCTAACTCCCGAACCACTGGACCAATTCATCTGAATTTTGGATATGTTTGTTCCCTGATTATGCTGGTTCAGAAAATTTTTATTGGAATTGCACGTATAGTTTTGAAGTTATAAAAATTGTGTAAAAAGTATATTTTTCGCTTGGAGATAATTGAGTTAATACAACAATTAACTCAATTATCTCCCAAGCAGAGGGGAGGAATTTACAATAATGAATGGGAGTGTGTAACTGTGTGATTGTACGCTATTGGTTGTTAAGTTTGTATTTTCAGTGCCCAACAAGGTCCATGTGGGTGGTAACCTTGTGAAAACTTGTATAAAAGAATGGCTTGTGTGCTCATTAAAACAGTTCTACTTCACCCTCCATCTAGAGTCTTGTCTCTTATTGGGGGAAACTGCTAAACAGCTATAACACTAGCGCTTTTAAGAATTTCTCAACTTGGATGATTGCTGGATGCTGAGAATACCCCTCGCTCATCAGGAGAAGGAACCCCTTTACTCACCGGGGTAACCGCTACAGCAATTCCTGCTTCACCTTGCATATAGGGAGGTGCAACAGGAATCCACTGGGTTCTCGCCCTTTGAGCTGTTGTATGGGAGGTGCATGAGGGCACCTCTAGATCTTATTCGGGAGCACTGAGAGGGGGAGCCGGAGACCGCATGGGTCCCGATTGTGCCCTATGTTTTGGAACTGAGGGACCGCATGGAGGCATTGGCTCAGACCGTTGCGTGAGAACCTCCAGACGGCCCAGCAGCACCAGCAGATATGGTACGACCGGAAGGCCAGGCACCGTAACTACCAGGTCTTACAAAAGCTTCTGATAATCAAACCAGGATAAGCTGCAGGCTGCCTGGCAAGGGTCGTATAAAATTATTGGGCAGGTGTGTGATACCACCTACACAGTAGCTATTTGCGAGAATGAGGATGTGAAACTAACGTTTCACATCAACATGCTCAAAGAGTACAAAGACAGGGAAGAAGAGGTAGCTGCAGTATGCGCGTCAGCATTTGAGAATCCGAAGGCCCTTCCCTTGCCCAACAGAGGCCATAGAATTGGTCCAATTGGGGGAACGACTGGGACCGCAAGAACGGGCCCAAGCGATCAACCTCCTGGAAGCCAAACAAGCCACTTTCTCCCAGTAGCCAGGGTATACCCGTTAACTACCCACAAATTAGAGACCCCAGGCCAGGCTCCCTTGAGACAGCCTCTTTACCGCGTACCAGAGGCAGTGCGGGAAGGGATGCGTAACAAGATAAGAGATGCTCCGCTTGGGGGTCATTGAGCATTCTGAAAGTCCTTGGGCCTCGCCTGTAGTACTGGTGCCAAAACGGAACGGTGCAACCCATTTTTGTGTGAACTGCAGGAGGCTCAATGATAAAACGGTCACGGATTCCCTACCCGATGTCCTCTGTATTGCAAGAGGAAAATATCTGAACACTATAGATCTTTGTAAAGGCTATTTGCAGATTCCCCTAGTCGAGAAGCCCATATCAAATTTGGCCTTTGTCACCCCGTTCGGCTTATACCAGTTCCAGGTTATGCTGCTTGGGATGAAGAACGCCCCAGCCACCTTCCGCCTCTTAGATGGTCTCCAGGATTATGCTTGTGTATAACTGGATGCCATCGCGATCTATAGCGACTCCTGGGAGGCTCACCTCGACCACATAGGGACAGTATTAAACAGGATTAAGGGGAACCGGCTTAACCTTGAAGCCAGACAAGTGTCATATTGGTATGGTGGAGGTGCAGTACCTGGGCCACCGTGTAGGCTGTGGTAAGCAATGGCCAGAGCCTGCTAAGATTGAGGCCGTTGCTAACTGGCCCACTCCCCATACCAAGACGCAAGTCATGGCCTTCTTAGGGACAGCTGGCTACTATAGGCGCTTCTTATAGCGCCATGGCCAATCCCCTGACTGACTTGACTAAGAAGAATTTACCCAGACAGGTCCTGCTGTCCCCGGAGTGTGAGGTCGCTTTCCAAGCTCTGAAGCAAACCCTTGTTAATGCGCCTGTTCTAATTGCCCCAGATCCTCACAAACGCTTTATCGTCCATACAGACGCTTCCATGTTTGGGCTGGGCCAGGTCGGAGAAGACGGAGGGGAACACCCCGTCGCCTATTTGAGCCGGAAGCTACTACCCAGGGAGGTCATTTACGCGGCCATTGAGAAAGAGTTCCTAGCCTTAGTGTGGGCACTGAAAAAACTGACCCCATATCTCTATGGCCGCGCTTTAAATCTCATCACTGACCATAACCCCCTAGTTTGGCTAAACTGTGTCGCTGGAGATAATTCCCGTCTTCTAAGGTGGAGTCTAGCCCTATGACTTCACCATCCATTACCGACCTGGCAAACAGAACGGGAACGCAGATGGGCTATCTCGCCAAACTGAGCTAGTATCTTGAACAA